GGTCGCAAATGACCTGATTTCTGTGAAAAGCAAAGCAAAGTGCCTTAGAGGCAATAATGGGTGCAGGGGCATGCTCTCTGGCATTTACATGGTGCCTCACACCTGATGGACTGCCTTGTGTTCCGTCTTTGTTCCATGAGTACACACTGGGCACAGAAGTCAAACTCATGAGCCTTTCTGCCTGGCCTGGGCTAGTGCAGCTCTGAGCTCACTATGTGCTAGAGCAAAGGACTTCTGGGGGAGAGAAGTGCTCTGCAAAAGGGACAGCATTCATGGACGAGAACAGAGGCAAGAGTTGAGCAATCACAGTTCTGTCCTGAACTGGGGTGGGGGGAGAGAGCTGAGGGAATGTTTCAGAAATCAGCCTGGGGACCAATTGTTCCACGCCTCTCTCTTGTACTATTTGGACACAACTGGAGAAGGCAGAAGTTCATCAGATGATGGAGTTGCCACAATGAAAGTCAGAGAGGGTCTTGGTCAGAGTTAGGACAAAAGTATCGTCCTTGTCACTCTTCATCATTGGCTCTAGTGCCAATACAGTAGACATGCCAACTGTCTTGGAGCTTGTCCCAGAGCTAGGTCCATGTCCAACTCATGGGTTTAGCTCTCCGCAATTTCATCCTCTCCCACAGAACCTCCGGCAAGTATGGTCTCAGGCATTCATGGTGTCTTTGGAGCCTGAAGTCTCTTCTGTACGGGGGGACCAATGACAGCAATCAATAGGGCCTTAGCAGGGCACTGTCCTATCAATGTGCCAGTCCTCATGCAGTGTGAGAAAAAGCATCAAAAGGGGCCTCCAGGGTTGGGGTTGTAGCTCAGGGGTAAAGTGCTTGACCTTCAGGCGTGAGGCACTGGGTTTGATCCTCAGCACCATATACACATTTAAAAATAAATAAAGTAAATGTACTGTGTCCATCTTCAACTAAAGAAAAAAATATTAACAAAGTGTGTGTGTGGGGGGGGGGGTTCTCCAGGGAGTGAGTGCTGCCTACACCAGGAACTCAGCCCTGCCTGTCACCAGCTCTTCCAAAGATTTCTCCAAAAAAAATTGTCCTACCCATGGGTTTTCAAGAATAAAGTATAACAAATTATAATAGCAGTAGCAGAAGCTGCAACAAAACCCAAAGGAATTAGCCCTTGACCTTCTTCTTGCAACAGAAGCTCATTTGTCATTTTTTAGCTAAAGCAAATACAGGTTCCACCTACAACTTTGAATTGCTCCTCTCACCATTGTCAGAATCTAGAAAGTCCAGACCAGCACCATGTCCCAGGAATGTCTCCAGCCTGGAGCTTCTCCAGGGAGGCACCTACCTTCTGCCCCATCACCTCCAATTGCCCTTCCTGTTCCTGCCTTGCTGCTTTTCCACCTGCTGGATTTGGTCAAATATTTAGTCTCCAAGTTCTCTTCCTGCCCCATGAATCATTCTGCTATATAGATCTGTATGGAATTCCACTTTCAGGCATCCCTTCCCTGGTGTATGGGCAGCTGTACTTGCCCAGAAGGCTGTGCCCCATCCCTTACCCCTGCAGTGGTGTAGAGTCACCACCCGAGTGATCCTGAACCTTGTTGTGCTTTAAATGCAGGGTAGCATCTCCTGTCCCCACTGCCCTGCCCTGTATGAAGTTTCTGACTCCTTCCTGGGGTGCGCAGTGGGCTGACAAATTCATTACTTGGTTTACAAGCTTGTTTGGCAGGGAGCCAGCAGTCTGCAGGCCCCATGTGTCTGTGGGTTTACCAGCAACCACTGCTTTGCAGAGAGGCACAGCATCTTCGTATGAGCAACTCAGCAGAGCAAGAAGCCCCAGCTTCCCAGTCCCACAGCTGAGGTCATTGTAAACACTAGGGAGGAGTTTTCTAAAGGTCATGAAGTGGGGACACAACAGCCACAGCCTGATACCACTTTTGACCTATCTGACACTCCCAGTGCGGTGAGAGCACAGCAGAGGCACAGCCAGGTCCCTAGACTGGACAAAGGTCAGAGGTCAGCCTTGCTCAGACTTTTAGTTGACACTTAATGGTTTATTGGTACATTGGGTCAACAAATGTCAATACCAGCAGTAACTAATGCAGGTAGAAATGGCAACATGTCCTTATGAGGGGCTGGCATTTAGCCAGTTCATTAAAATCTTAAAGAGATTCCATAAAACCTCAAAGCCCTGAAATTTGGGCAAGGAATTCTAAAAAGGCAGCTGTGGCCATAGTCTCAGCTGCAGAGGCCACATGATGTTTGTATCTGGAGTAGGAGCATTTACTGGCAAGTGAGGGTGTTGTCCCTCAGATGCCCTGTAAATCCAGAAGTCACTCTGCATGTGAGATGGCCTCTATCATCTTCAGAGGGCAGAGGACCTAGCTGCTTTTGAGGAACGCCCTCCCCTACACTGGAAAAGGCTGGTCCTATTGTTGCGGGGCCTTATTCCTGGTTAATTGTGTGGCCTGTGTGGTAACTTCGGGTGATCTATGGATGTGGCATCTCCCATCATGTTCTCAGTACTCCCTATAGTTCCCTGAGGATAGTTGGGATCTGATCAAGTGGGGACAACTAAGTAGGGGTACTGCTGAAATTGAGGACACCTTCTGAGGAGGGACACTTGTATGGTGGAGATATTTGGTAAGTTGGGATGCCTGGTGAAGTCCAGAGACCTGATGCAGTAGGGATTCCAGGTGTGGTAGGAACTCTCAAAGAGGTGGGGACAACTGATGTGTTGGGGACACCTGGTGAAGTGAGGATTACTGGTCAAGTCAGAGATGTCAAGAGAAGAAGGGACAGAAGGGGAACATGAGGGAAGTGTAGATAGGTACACTATGGAAGTCTCCAAGGAGGGGAAAGGAGAGCATCTAGAGGAGGGGACACTTCCTAGGCACCTTTATCAAGATGCTATATTGTCCATCAGTGTCACTTCTTGCTTCCTTGTCCTTCTCTAAATTGCTCCTGCCACCTGCTGGCAAATATAGACTACAAAATAAAAATAAAAATACCTTTCAGTTTCCCTAGTACCAACAAAGTGATTAGGGCGATTTCTCCTGTTTTGTAGATAAACTGTTGAGGTGTGAGCAGCCGTTAGGATCCCAGGGCTTCACCTTGATGTCACCATTTCCCATGTGCAAGTGATGGAAAGATTACTTACATCTCCGAGTCTTCATCAATATTGTGGTTGTAGGAAAGTTTTTGTAATAATTAATGAGCTGATTTGAAACAGAAGGGTTTGCCCTCTGTGCAGTCCAGAACAGGGTGCCAGCAGTCCCTTAGGACCTGTGAGAGCCAGGTTGGCTTGTGAATGTTGCTTCTGTCCTCCCATGCTTCTGGCTACTTCTGTGGGGATGGGCATGTTCCCTGCTCTGAACTTTAATTCTCTCACCTCTCATAGGATCTTTGGGAGGATTACCTGAGGTACTGTGTCCAAGCACCCAGGGTAGTGGCTGCCCATAGCAGGGCATAGTCAATGGTGGGTACCACAATCATGAGACTGAGATCTAGGGAAGTGCCAGCTGCCCCTGACACACTTAAAAGATGTCTCTGCTTTGTGACCACTGAGGATCACAGTGAGCTGCTGGGCCATTCAGTTGGTCCTGATCCTTGCACTTCTAATCAACATGGTGCTGCATGTAATCTTGGTGGTTAGCCCTGAATAAAGACTTGGCAGGCCTGGAGGAATTACAGTGAAGGCAGAACCCTTGTAAACTGAGGATCTTCCATCTGGAAAGACAGATGGAATAAGTGGGTCGTCGATCTAGCAGGAGATAGATTGCCTGGCATAGAGGGTCTGGCTTAGGGCAACTGTGATGGTGCTGCTAGAGATGGGTGAGGATATACAGACCGATTCTACTTTTTCATCAAATCTGAAGAGATGCAAGTTTAGGCATCCCTGAACAAATACACAGAAGCTCGTTTGATACAGTGGTTCATGATGAGAGATTGGACTGAAACATGGAAAGGAAAAACAAGCTTTACGATGGTCTGCCAAAGACACTAATAGTAACCTCCCCATCTTCTGCACACCTGTCTGGGCCAAGTACTGTGTTCTGTGTCTCAAGAATTCCCCAGCAATCCTATGAAGTGTTCCTTATTTGGTCATCTTGTCCCAGAGAAGAGGTTCAGAGAGGTACATTTGCCCAAGATCAAACAGCTAGAAAATAGCACAATTGGCCGGGCACGGTAGCACACACCTGTAATCCCAGTGGCTGGGATGCTAAGACAGGGTGATTGCGAGTTCAGAGCCAGCCTCAGCATTACTGAGTCACTAAGCAACTCAGTGAGACCCTGTTTCTAAATAAAATACAAAATAGGACTGGGGATGTGGCTCAGTGGTTGAGTGCCCCTGAGTTCAATCCCCAGTACACCCCACCACAAAAAAAAAAAAAAAAAAAGGAAAAGAAAATAGCACAATTGGATTCAATTCCAGGTTGGTTTGACTCCAAACTCATGGTCTCTAGGGGCAGGTGGCTTTGGCTTTCATTGGGATATTTGGGCTTCTTTTATATATTCTTCAGTAAGGTCTTAGAGTATCTGTTTTTGGACTATCTGTTGTCGAGGTGAATCTCATTTGTTCTAGGAAGACAGTGCTAATGATTTTCAAAATAGTGTATGTTCAAGGTCAAGGGGGAGAGTGGCAGGAGGGGGAGATCACACTCACAAGCCTTATTCCAAGACAGTGGTTCTTACCTTTGTCACATATTGGAATCACCAGGCTGCCTCCCTGATCAATCAAATCAGGATTTCCAGGGCTGGGATGCCAGGATTCCAGGTATCAGGAGTTTTTTTAATGCCACAGGTAAAAAAAAACCACTATCCTAGAAGGGAGTGTGAGGGGAACAGGATGATGATACTAACAATGTTTGAGGTGAGAATTTAAGCAGTCAAGGATTTTGTAATTCTCATCCTGGGAGACGGTGAGGAGCTGAGTCCCGGGTGGCTCTGTCCTCATTCAACAACCCAGTGAATAGTCCAAATGAATCTCAACTGTAACTACTCATCAGAAAGAAAAGTCATAAGCAAAAAAAAAAAGCTAAAAGATAACTTTTTGTTAAATAATGAACACTCGTAAAACAGCAATGAAATGGTATTAAAATGTCTTGTGATTACTTGTTTCTCAGCATTCATCTGATAACTTAAGCAGCATGAAGCAAGAGTTGCACTTAAAAAAATGACAAGAAAATAGCTATTCATTTAGTTGACAGAGTAAGGCCCATCTCGTTGCTAGGATCACTAGCATCACTGCTTATGACCAGGGTGAACGCCTGCACGGGTGGCGATTTGAGAAGCACCCACTTGTGTCTTCGTAGCTCCTTTGCCTCGAGTCCCTGGAGCAAACACTGGGCTCATTCCTTAGGAGCCTTGGGAGGGGCTGTGGCCTGTCTCCCCAAGATCGCGTATTGCTGGAGGGGAGCTGCTGAGTGTCCTGAAGAGGCCTGGAGCTCTTAGGCTGGGGCAGCGTGGAGGGAAGGAGCAGGACTGGGGACAGAGGCTTGGCATTCTCAAGGCTGGACCCATCTGCAGAGAGTGACAGCTGGGATCTCCTTCTAGCAGTTGTTTTGTCTTTTTTTTTTTCTAAGCCCCATTTTCTTCTGGTAGGGAAGTCACGCAGACTGGGGGACACAGAGGACTCAAGCAGGCCACAGACAGCAGAGTGACATGTTCCCTGCCCTCTGCCTATTGCACCGTATTCCATAAAAAATAAACACATTTTTTTGTTAAACTGTTTGTATATTGCTAATGCGGCAACATTCCAGGCACTGGCAGGCTGCAGAGAGAGCTGCGTTGTCATTAATTCACCAAAATCCATCCAGAGACAGCCTCATGGGTCGGGATCTTTGGAGCTTCCATTTGGAAGAATTAGCAGTGCCCATCTGTCTGGTGCTCTACACAGTGCTGTGAAAATGAAATTAAGGATAAAAACAAAGGAATCCATGGGTAGAAAATTCCAGGGCATTCATGGAGTCGTTTGGCAATCACTTATATTGTACAGCGTCACACAGGTGTGTCTACCCCTGGCCAGCTCTACCCTCTCTGAGCCCACAGAGCCCTGGCCGGGGGCCTTCCCCTCCGTGCCTGCAGGAAGCTCATAGGTGGTTGTTCTTGGAGAGGTAGGCGATGAGGGCGACGGCCACGCCCACGTAGATGCCGGTTCCGATGGTAATGGACAGCACGGCCAGGAACAGGGCCCTCCGGGAGCTGGTGCTAGCCTGGTGGAAGTCCCCCTTGGCCACGGCTTTGTTGGTCTGCAGAATTGGAGGAGAAAAAGGAAATCAAAGTAAGAAAGTCAGAATGAACAGAGAGTGGAGGGCTGGTTTGAGGCCCCAAGAATTTAAGAAAGACTGGAGGGGAATCGCTTACCCTCCATTTCTTCTCTAACTGGCAAGGAAGGGATGTGGCTGATGTTTGGCCACTCTCCCCATACTGCAGGGGAGGCAAAGCCTCAATTCTACTCTGTCCTGCAGGAATAAGTGAGGCTTGGAGTGGGCCAATAAATACCATCAATATGGGGCCTGGGGTCTTGGGGACCAGTAAGCCAGGGATGGGCAAGGCACCACATTCCAGTGCCATTTCTTCTACGCAAGAATGACATATTTTGTATTTGAATTAACTTAATTTTCTAAAGCATGTTCACACTTACCTGATTTAATCTGTATAACCCAGCAGAGATGGGGGGGGGAAGGGAATTCTAGTTCTCATTTCCCAGAGAGGAAACTAGGGCGTATGATTATTGAATCAATTCCAGGATACTGGAGGTTAACCACTTTTCGTGTAGTTAGCCATCATATGACCATGACATTGTTCATTTCCTGACCCTGCCATAGCTGGAGTTAGTGAAACTTGTCCACTGTTCAAATAATTGTATATAAGACCAATACCTATACTTATACTTTTGGGCATTCAATCATATAACAAGGTGTTGGCTTAAAATGATTTACATTTCTTGGGGTCATGAGGTGGATGGGAGCATGAAGGTTGGCTGTTGTATTTGATTTGGGATTTTGTGGCAGAACCCATAGACCCATCCCAATTCCTTTCCCCTTCCTTTCTTGTCTTTGCTTTCCCACCTCCCTTGGGGGTGACAAATGTGGCTCAGAAAGATCTCAGTGGATGTCTTTGGCAGAATTCAGGTAAGGATTTTGTTCTCCGGATAAGATATGGGACATATATGGGACTAGCACAACCTCTTCCTTCTACCTTGGGATGTGGATATGATGACTGGAACTGCTGTGATGATCTTGGGTTCAGGAAGTAAGCTGAGAGAATATTAAAGAAGACTGTGCCAATAATACTGTGGAACCTCTGAACCAACATCAGAAGCTGCCAGCCAGAAATTTGTTCTTTGAGGAACATAAGCACTTATCTGCTCAGGTCTCTGCTGGCTGTGTGGTAGCTCCTTGCTAGAAGTAGGGGAAAACTGTAATTCATCTGTAACCATCACGAACAGACCACCAAGCCAATCAGCTCATTTGCCAGACGGAGTGGTGTACTACCAAGGAGCATGATTCCCAGGAGGTTCAGTCAATGCTGAGGTCGGCTAGTCCCAAGCCAGCAGAGTGTCCTCTGTGATGAAGGTAAAGAGCCTACTTCCCTGTAGAATGTAACTTGCTCTCATGGGCCATTCCTGGAAAACCAAATTTTCTCACCAGACCCAATTCCCAAGGGTCATCTGTGACATCTCTACATTTCATAGGCAGGCATAAGAGGACAGGTTGTTCACTCAAACTGAAAATTACCATTACCGTGCCATAGACCACAGAAAGACAAAATCAGAGAATGGATTTTCCTATTTCACAATCTCCTGATCTTGATTTATTGAGATCTGGAAGTCTGTGATGTGTTGAGAAGGGACCCCCTCCGCCACCTGTCTTCGTACCCTTGTCCCTAGCTTCTGGATCTTAAAGGCTAGGTTTTTCTTTTTCCTTCCCCAGTATTTTGTCTTGGAACTGAGCTTGGGAACTCACCGAAGACAAGTTTTTGATGAAGTAGAGCTGAGGGAATGCGCACGAGAAGCCTCCTAGGACAACCATAATGAATTAATTAAGTCATAATGAGCTGGGGTTGCATTTTAAGTAGCAGTGCTCCCAAACACTCCAGTGTCCTATAACATAATTTACTGTAATTGCCCTTCCTAGTGTTAACTCCAAACAGACACGGTTCATCACAAGTGTGGCTTTGCTGCTGTCACTGCAATTATCACCATCCTTAGCATAGTCCGCCATGAGCCTTGCTGGAGGGAAGGAGGCAAAGGAGGGCCAAGAGCAGGGAGGAGGCCACTTTAGCTGATCACATACCTTCCCACGGAGCTCCTGGGTGCCTGACTTCCCTGCCTCATTGGAACTCATTTAAATAATGACACCTGGAATAGTTGTTTTCTTTGCCCCAGGAGGCAGGGCCCACATCTCCCTTGTCCTTTGGGGTCTTCATGGAGCCTGAGTGAGTGCCAAGGAGGAGTGGCAGTAGGCCACTTGATATTTTATTATGTCACATTAGTACATTGTAATTGTATATAATTCTCTATTCCTAAACTTCTCTCCTGCATCCCACACAGGCTGTGAAATTTGGGTTTCCCTTGCATGAAATGTGCTGGCTGAGAAATATGGCAAAAAAATTACACGACACAGAAATAATTTTGAAAAAACGAGGGCAGGGCAGCTCTGCAACCTCAGGGGTCCTGCTTCTACACTGGAAGGAGAGTGAGAGGAGCCTGCATTTGTTTTTTTTAATACAAGAGGACTTCAAAGGATTTGAATGAAGTGTTCATTTGCCAAATAAGGTCGGAGGGGGGCTGTCCAAGCCCAGTGGGTAATGCCCAAGTCCGGAGCTACAGAGCAGCCTCCTAGCTCAGCGAAGACTGAGGTCACCACATGCTTTGTGTAATAAGCCACAACATGACGTGTAATGCCAGACCAAATCTCCTTGGCTCCAAGGCCATGTAGAGGCTATTCAGATAGCTCAGGGGTGGCCCCCCACATATAATATTGGGATTCACTGTGACTTATTCATATGCATGCATAACCCAATTTGCTCCATTTCTTTCCCCAGTACTTCCCTTTTACTTCTTCTCCTCCCCGCCCCCATCCTTTTTCTCTGCTCTTCTGGTTTTCCTTTATTTGTTTTTTAAATTGGTGCCTTATAATTATGCATAAAAGTGAGATTCATTGTGATCTGTTCATACATACACTTAGCATAATTTGCTAATTTTGTTCTACGATTACTCTCTTTTCTTTCCTTTCCTCTCTTCCCCTTGATCCTGTTCCTCTACTCTATGGTTCTCCCTTCTATTTTCATGAGATTCTCCCCTGCTTTTTTTTTTTAATTCCTTTTTTCCTCTCTAATTTCCACACAGAAAACATTTGACCCTTGATTTTCTCAGTCTGGCTTATTTAATTCAGCAAGATATTCTCCAGTTCCACCCATTTATTGGCAAGTGACATAATTCATTCTTCTTTATGGCTAAGCAGAATTCCATTGTGTAAATATACCACATTTTCTTTATCCACTTGTCTGGGACGGGCACCTAGGCTAGTTCCATAACTCAGTTATTGTGAATTGCACTGCTATAAATTGGAATTCAGGTATTGCTATAGTACGCTGAGTCCAGTTCTTTAGAACAACTGCTATGGAAATCAGTATGGAGATTCCTCAAAAGATTAGAAATAGAACCACCGTAGGGCCCAGCCATTCTACTCCTTGGTATTTATTCAAAAGGTCAATAGCTATTAATATGTGACTGAATGCATCTGTTTTACAAGATCACGTCCTTCAATGTTCCCAGTTGGTACTGGCTCTCAGTACCTGCTTCTGTTTTTTTTGTGGGTGCTTAGAAGAGAGGTAGTGGTTTCTCCCATCCCTCAAGCTGAGTTCTGGCTCAATACTGCAAGTTCTGCACACATATAGGTCCAGAGCTCCTCTGCTCAAAGCCAACAGTTCTGAAAATCATGTTCAATTGCTCATTTTCATAATCCACACTGAGGGAACCAACTCTTAATTTTTATGTTTAGTTCCAATAAGAGACACAGATACTTTGTTGTTTGGGCACTATCAGAGAAATGTCAAGAACAGCAAAGAGATGAAGCCTAACAAGCAGGCTGCTTTTCAGCAAGGCTACTCAGTATCTATGTTTTGCAGAAGCAGAGAGCTCCCGGGGTCTAAGCTCCCATGAGGTAGAGTCATCATTGACATTACAGAGTGCATGTCATGATCTAAGGAAGGGGATTGGACCAACTCTTTGTTTCAGAAAATGGGTGACCATGGCTACAAAACAGCTTGCTCATTCCTTTGAGAAGGAGCAAACTAGAAGAAATGCTTCTATCAGTTTCTAGACTAACACTTCAAGCTCTTTGACATGTTTTTGTTTTTGTTTCTTTTTGCTATGAATCAGGGCAAGAGTTCTTGACCTGGGCACTCAGGTTTATCACCCCTTAAAACCAAAGGCAAGACTGTGTGGAAGACTTTTTATGAGAAGACAGGTCAGCCAAGGTCAGTGGATTCTGCAGGTAGCCCGTGCCCCTGACTGCACTTGCCCACTGTGTTGGGGAGAGGAAGGAGGAGTGGAGGGAGCAAGGAACAGAAGCAACTAGTATCTCCTAGGGTCAGAGGATTCCAGGTATTTCTTGGTTGGAATAAGCAGATATCATGTACTTGTCTTAATGGAGAGTGTAGACTTGTCTACACCCTGGTCTACACATGAAACCCATGGGGACCTAAGTGAGCATTTAGCAGGCGTTCTGAGAAGCTTGATCTCAGGGTTCTTGGTGGGTGTGTACCTCTGGGAACTTACTGCCTGCTGGAAACAGCTTCCCCAGACTTGGTGTCCAGTCCCTTTGGACGGCCTGACATGCTGGCTCTTTATCACCCCCGGGGGTGGGAGGGGAGACTCTTGGGCATCCAGATACCCAGGCTGAAAACTTCCTTCTCATTTTATATGTGTGTTCCTCACTTGTTGGTAAGAAATGCATCATCTCCAAACTTTGTGGCTGAACAAGAACAGTCACAATATGTCTCACAATTTCTGCAGCTCAGGGATCTCATGATGCACTGCTTGGGCGGTTCTGACTTGGGGCTGGACTGTGGTAACCTCAACATCCTCTGGGAGATATCTGCCTCCTGGGGTGTGGAGATTGCAGAGGGTTACTTGGCAACTTTCCCTCCTTCCACAGGGTTCCTCCCAGTGCTGAATCTCAGGGCCCATGTCCCACTCTCCCATATTTCCCTCTGACAAGCCCCTTCTGGTTCCTTCCTCCTGGCCCTTCTCACCTCCAGTGATAACTAAAGTATCTTCCTGTCCTTACTGTCATTTGGGTTTGGTCTCTGGAAGGCCCTACCCATAGGGCTGTCCTCCAAGTCCCCTGGGAATACTCTGCCAAGAAGCCCATGGGGGACAAAAAGCCCTATAAAACCACAGGAGGCACACATAGACACATGGGGTGTCTTATGGGAAACTCACCATGCTTGAACAAAATAAAATCTGAGCCAGTCCTGGGGGCTGACCAAATTCAGGATCCCGGGGCTTCCATTAAGAGGCTGCACCTCTGGTGGGTCAACCACAAAAAGCTTCCTCTTGGTTCTGCCTCTGTCCCTCCTAGACAGTGCCTCTGTCACTCTGTGAAAGTCACCACATTGAACAAAAGGGAGGTGACAGGGTGTGGAAGGAGCCCCATCTGTACACACCCTGCCTGACTGTAGAGACAACTCCATTCACACGATCACTGAAGCCTTGTCAAGGACTATGGGAAAGCTCCTGGGAACTTCTTTCCTCTGAGAAAAATGCATCACATCTCTTTAGGTCAGAAGGGTGACCATCAAACCAACTGCTCTCCGTTGCAGTTGGTTTCCCTTCATTTTCCTTTTGCCAACAGGTCATGAATGAAGTTTGTTACTTTCTTTTGGGGGCCTCTTATCAGGGAACAGGAAGTGCAGGTGGCCACCCTAGTCCTGAGTAGCTTTGGTGTGAACCCCAAAGCTTCTACATGCAAGTGATGGCCAGTGGTGACCCATATTGGGGGCATGGAAGTCCCCGGGGAGTGGTTCCTGCACTTCTGAAGGCTACTCAGGTAGAGTGTTTCAGCTCATTAATAAAAGTCACAGGAGAGGAGAGGAAAGCTGAAAAGCCCAGGGTGTTAAGAATCAATAACCAGAACACAGGAAGCAACAGGGTTCCCACTGGGCACAGCTGGGCACAGGGTGTCAGATGCTGCCTGAAAGGGAGCCATCCTTTAAGCCATGAGATATTGGGCTCATGTCCAGCCCACAGCCTGGTTCCTGAGGAAGCATTTACACACATGCTGCTTCTTAAGTTGAAGAGCCAACTTCACTCACCTGGTTGTAAGGATGTTCAGGGAACTTTTCTAAAATTGAAAAGCACAAGTAATGCACAATAAAACTCATGAAAACAATGAATATCTTCTCCCTCGTGTGAGGTGATATTCAACCTGGGAAAATAAAAAGTTTTATAAACAGACTGCTCAGTGAGGACGAATGCACTAAAATCACCACTGCATCACATCTCTTTAGGTCAGAAGGGTGACCATCAAATAATCAGGCCTAAGCAACACGTTGGCAAAAGCCCCCAAGCTTTGGGATACACATATAAAGATCATTTTGCTCAAGGTTTCGTGATCAGAAATGGTGAGTTGGTAGAGGAATGAAATCATATTTCCCTTCCTTGGGTGGTAGTTTTTAATGGGTGACTGTTTACCAACCAGTAGCTCTGAGTTAGTGGTGATAGAGCACACCTCGGTAGTGTTTAGGGGGATGGTTTTGTTCAAAGGGAGTGGCCTCAGCTTGTGGTGACAGCAGGGTAGTCTCTGACTGGATTCCAGGCCCTGCTTCCTTCCCACTTTCCCTAGTCTGGAGGTCTACAAGGCTATCCTCACCCTCCGTCCTTTCGTCCCTCTCTCCCTCTGTTCCTCTTTCTTTGCCTCACTTGCTCTGTAACAGGATGTTCAGCCTAAAGTTCCGCAGCAGAACTGACACCAAAAGAGACATGGCTGAAAATGGCCTCACATTTGGTTC